TGTAACACAAGTAACTCCTGGAACAGGGGTATCAGGGTGCAGCAATGCGCTCTGTGGGGTACCTGCCCTAGCCCAGGCAGGCAGGAGCAGGGCAGCATTCTGCAGTACAGAACAGCTCAGGGACAATCTCCTCTTAACACATTTGCATATCCCCTTCCAGCAGTGACTGTCTATAAGGGAGCAGGGCAGCAGAATGCAGGCTGCAGCCCCCCTGCAGCATCCTCTCCTTTCGTATTCCACTTCAAGGTAGCATTAGATATGGGAAAAATAAAAGGAAATCAAATAGTGATAACCCTTTCCTGGGCTCCACCTGCCAACAAAGCTCCACCTAGTTGGGAGAGCAAAATGAGATGCTTTTACAAGACTATGAAACTGCTAATCAAGGTAGTGCATGTGCTCTCAAGTTAGTACCTTCCTAATCTCCTGATCAACAGATCCGTGTACTGAAGAGGCACTATGGACCTTTTGGTCCAACACTTCTTGGTTTCTGCAGGCTGAGGCAGATACCGTTCTATTTTTCACACACTGGGGGTTATCCTGATTACTATAAATGCCAGAAATGATGGGGTTGGTTTTCTTCCTCAAACAGAAGTTATCTTTGCAGCATGTGTTTCTGCCTCTGAAAATAGGGGTATGCTGTGCTGCCATGAAAACCATAAGCTGGCTTCATCCTCATCTGTATTCACAGAAGGAGAAGGTGAGGACTGTCTCACAACAGCCCTGTATTGCTTACCTGTGAACCACTTTGCTGGTCAAACACAAGCATTTCTGATATCAGCATTTCAGGCCTTTGTGACCCTCACTGGCTTCAAAACAGGCTTTGTTCTGAGAAGGGCTTGTCACTGGCAGTTATGCAGGAGGGGTTTTCTAGGAAATGAAGAGGACAAATGGGAAAATTATTTATCCATGTATAACTCGTTTCATACTGCATAAAGCCCCGCTGTGAGGTGTGCTGCCTTTCACTTGCCTTTCACTCACCTCCTGCATCCACAGCTTGTCAAGATCCATGGGAGTTTATCACGGAATCACTCTTGTGTACAAATCCAGGGCAGAAAAGCCCACTTATTATAAGCTTCTTTACAAACGCACTCCTAGGTTCTTCTCTCCTCTACCTACCACCATTTCTTGAGGAGAAGGGAGGTGAATGTGACCTCCAAACAAACACCTCTCTAAGCTAATTTGTGCTCTTCTCCAGCCTTTAAGATTAAACATTAGGATTAAACATTAGCTAGAGATCTCAGGAGGGCTTTGGCCACACTACACAGCTGAGTAAACTGGTGGGACCTGGCATGTGCAGGAGGGTGCTGCACTGGCCGTGTACTAAATATAAAGCTCAGATGGTCGCATTTCAGCCTCTGCTGCAGACTCTATCCCACATTAATTAGGTAGAAGGGATGACCTAGTGATTATGGAGAAAGGAAAGCAAGGTCCTCTATCTGCCATTGCTGCAAACTTGTTGCAGGATCTTGGGCAAGTTACCTCACCTTTCTTTGCTTCAGTTGTTTATCTGCCAATAGACACTTCTGGATGTGTCTCAGGTACTATTTATTTGTTTAAAAAAGTGTGAAATATGGGCTATGAGGCCTTAACAGTACCACCTATTAATTATTTACAGTTTATACTAAGAGCTAAAAATAGACATTAATTCAGCAGGGAAAGTCTTCTGGCAAAAATGACTGGAAGCACAACTGTCCCACACTCCAAACGCTTCCCAGGCAGTAACATGACCACACGGAGTTTGGCTCATTATGTATGTAAAATAGGCAGATGCTATTAGAAAGTAATTTTTTTTTCACCCAGTGACTACAGAAGCCTGTCCCTCATGATGAAATCCTCTGCAGGGGCCATATTTTTACCATGCCTCATACTTCTCAAGGTGTTTGAAATCACGCTCAAGGCTGAATACTGTCTTCCTTTTTCTCTCCTTGAATGAGCTCTGCTTTCACAGAACTGCACTGAGGCCTCAGCAGCTCCCTTTGAATATGCTTCCTTTTTACAGTATATAATTCCTGATGTTGGGGGGCATCATCACAATTTAAAGTATGTAGTAACACACTGTTCAGAAACAACAGATCAGGGTAATAAACCATCAACATAAGCAGGAGACTCGTCAAACAACATGGAAAAGGACTGAATGGAGTTCATAAAAGCATTTTTAAGAGGCAGGTGGAAGTGTGTTAAGAAAAAAGAAATTAGCAGTGTTTTGTATTATTAAGTGTTTTGCATAGCAGAACATTAATTAGCACTGGAGAGAACACACTCTTCTGGAATGCCCATGTGTGGCCCATTATATCCCATTTTTCCCTCTGAGTCATCTCTCCGCAGCCACCGATTCCGTGCGAACAGGAGCAGTCACAGTGGGATCAAGTTGAGTGACTTACCTATGTGAGTAAGCAGCCATAGAGGGAGATTTCCCCTTGAGCAGCGGCCATGGTACCACTGGCAAAACCTGGAGAAATAACTTTACTGGACAAAACATAATCCCATTTTTGGATATTGTTATTTTTACTTTTTTGCTTTTCACTTTGGGAATTCTATTATGCTAAAAACGTGTCTCCATTCAGCTATACACATCAGAAGTCTGCATGTACTCCAGAATGATGATCTGAGACATCTGGCACTTACACTTGGAGCCTTCCTGCACGGGACAAATTGCCCCCATGAAGAGAATGCACATTTCCAACATTTAAGTGAAACAAATAACAAAATAGCCCCTGGTGTGCTTAAGCCCTAAAACTGCACAAGCAAGTTAGCAAGGCCAAATCCATCTGTCTCCAAGTCTAGGTGAAAGGTCATCCATGAATCAGGAAGCAAATTATTGAGTTACCAGCATTGCAGCAACAGAATAAACTCTCACCAGCTGCTTGACTGACAGTGGGATATCACCCCCAGCTACTGGCAACTGCCCTTTCATCATTAACCTTCATTAAGGTGGCCATCTCCAAACCAAACAAATGCACAGTTCAGTTGCTAATATAAAAGACACCAATTAGATTTATATAAGAGTATTGCAAAATATTAAATAATAATGGTTGCTACTAAACAACAGCAGAGGATTCATCACCCTACAACACTTGCTCCTCAAACAGGCAAAACCTGGGTATTCTGGGGAAATGACACCTTGAGTGCTGGTAACGCTCTGTGCATCTGATGTGTGGGAGAAGGGGTACCGCTGGCATCCGTGGTCTGTCTAAATCTGACAGCAAGGCTAAGGTTGGCACTTAAGTGCATGAATCACCAACTACTGAAATTTAAAAGCTTGCATATGCAAATCACTAATTAAAGACATTAGCATAGTCAGTTACCCAAACTGTAATCTTAATCGTATCTCCAAGTGAGGCACGCAATCACACACCCATTTTGCAGATTTGCATTTGTGAGCCTGGTTTCCCGAGAGCTAGGGCCAGAAACTAGTCTAATAACCAATTTTAGCTCATGTGGTTCCAGGAAGGAAAAAGAAGAGTGAAAGTACAGACTGGCTTCCTCCCTGAAAAGTAATGGGGAATTGTACAAACTCAGGAACTGATGTGGACAGCGAATGATAACTGAGAGGGATTGATGGTGAGTTACGCATCCTGTCCTTTAATCTAATGCCCATCTTGGTGACTCTTGACACAAACAACGTGGATTTCCCTCTATTAGCAAATATTCAGACACAGGAAAAGACTATGTGCCAGATTTTGACTTTATTTACATTGAATTACCTGAGATTAGAATCTGAAACTAGAAACTTTCTTTATACAGTTACAAATAGCTATATTATGCAGTTTTAAGGGGTTAAGAAAAGAAGGAAATCATAACCACAGAAGTCATAAAGACAACTTATCCCAAGCCAAATAGTTTTGTTTCTAATGCAGGGCTTTAATTATAACATGTCATATAATGATGACATAGTGCTATAATAGGCAAATATAATGCATTAATCTGATATTATACTCTGGCTTTAACAATAGGTGCAGCGAACCAGCCTTAGTGGATAACTCATTCAGAACCTATCTGCACACTCCACCTAGATACTTATCTGCCTCTTTAATTAAGTGGAGGGAAACTTCTTGAGGCCATACCCATAAAGCCAGTCTCTGATGATAGCAGAGTTACTGGAAGCCTTTGGTAATCGTTTACACCCACGTATTGTGGTTAGCTTCCAACTTTGGCTCTTTCCTTCTCGCTTTGGAACCACCTATTTATCCCCTAGTGTAAATCCCCTAGTGTTTTTGTACCAAAAGGGGTACAAAAAACCTCCGGGGGTTGGTTTGAGCAACACGCCAACATACTGTCATTGGCCTCCTCAGCATGGAACCAGGCTTCTTAATTGCAGTGGTGAAAAAAAGAGTTTGGCAATTTTTTCACTTACCATATACTTCTTGAAACAGTAGCAACAGACTGCATCAGTGAACACAGGATGGCCAGTGACACCTTTCACCACGCATATTCCCAAGGTTGTCCTCAGTGTGCGCTCATGGCAATCAGATGCACTACAGTAACCAACTTCAGAAGAAGCAGGACTGGGCCTCTGGGATAAAACCATCTTTCCTGATTCCTGTCTAACTTGGTGTACGTTGAAAAACACCCTTTTTGGCTTCTTCAAACACAGTTTGTAGGATTTGCAGACTAAGCTAAAAACAAGAGTTTAACTGACATATTAGTTTGGAGAAGGTGGTTCCCTGAGTTGCAGTGCTTGCTCTCTACTAGGATTTCTTGAGACAAATATCCTGCTCTGAAGCAGTCATATACAGAAGTCATAAAGAACAAGTGTGTAAACAGCATCTGAAGAAAGCACAGGGACAGTGATCTTGGGGCCATGTGAGATAACTTTCTCAGGTGACAGATGTGTATGTATAGTCCCCGTAGCAGAATAAAGGTAGTATAGTAGGTAGCAGAATAAAGTAGCATAGTCCCTGTAGCAGAATAAAGGCAGGCAACATGGGGTTCCTATCCTTCAGTACTAGCTAAGCAAGCCACACAGGATGAGCACAACCAAAATGGCTCTGACAGCTTACCGCCTCCTTTGCCTTTTTGTCTCCTTCTGTGGCTCACTTCCGTACTCTCCTCCAATCTTTTCCAGTATGAAAGGCTCTGCTAACGACCTTTGAACAGATCATGTTGAGAATGTCACTGCAGACCTTCTTAATCTTATGGTGGCGCCTAGATAATATGGTGATGGGTACTGAAATGCTGAAAAACAGACAGACAGATAGCTAGATAAGATTAGATATATACGCAATTTAGTCATCATACAGAGCAGCTGACATAAGTTCATTTGTAAAGCCAACTGCTAAAATTGCTTTAGAAGTCCTTACATTTTAATTCTGTTGAAAGACAGACCTTTGATCTGAATTGTTTTGGTGGCATGTGCATTATTTGAATGGAACCTCACCTGACCAGGTAATACCAGACCGGTCATTCCTGGCATACTATTGTCATAGGAGAACAGTGTACATGCAAATCCATACCTACCGATAGCTCAAGGGCAGACAGATAACTGAGCATCATGGAACAGATACAGACTGGAAGACGAGCATCACTTTATTCTGATATGCAGAATGAATCACAGCTAATAAAAAACTCAATCAATCATATATATAACTAAAAGTAACCCCAAAACACTTTTAAGTTAAGCATGATCATAAAATAAAAGGAAAAAAAATTACAGATAAGTGTTATTGCTTCTCTTTTTCATTAATATTTATTAATTTACACTGAGGGATATGGAGGAGGAAGAGAAATAAAACAGACCTGTCAGATTTGCCATTGTTTATAAACAGTTTTATATTCCAGGTATTATCAAAACACTGGGATGTTTATTCTGCATTCACTGCAGGGAAAATGATTTACATTCACATGTGATGTTCTTTTAATTTGGCATTAAAAACAATAAAGTCAAAGGCACTTCCTAGGGCAGTTTATTTTTGAAGTGGGTTGTTTGTTTTCACTCTAAATCTGAGGCCATGGTAATATTCCCAACTATGGAAGGGGGAAGAGAGTTAATATGGAAGTGTAGAGTTAGTGCTTGGTTTTATCTGAGTGGCATTCACCCCAGCACAGCCACTTTGCACCACTAAAGCAAAACCTGTGCCTCAGTGCACGGCTGAACCACAGATAAATGGTTGCAGGTCTTAATGAGTGATGGCTGACACTCTCAGCAGATTCTGTGGTTGAATTAGAATAAGCATGCAAAAAGTTCAAATGTTAATCTAAGCCTCTTTGGTTTATAATGATGGAAGTCTGTCTCTAGAGCTGACTTACTCTGGTTTTAATATAACCTGACTGAAGCTGGGCTTGAACTGCTGCACAAACAGCTGCTGTCATGGAAAGCTGCTCCCTCCTTCATACCCACTCAAAATCAGTAATTGCAGGTGTGCAGAGGGATCAACTGATTGAACAGCAGTCTCCAGACAGTGCTTGCCACAGTCTTGTGTCCTGTGATACTTTACCTTTGCTTGTAGTCAGCTCTAAGGCTTGATTAATCTTACTGTACTGTTAGAATCCCTGTTTCCTTGACATTTGGGAAGCTTAACCTCTTTTTGAAGGTACCTGCATCTCACCAGTGACTACAGTGAATGAGTCCTAATCTGAGCATCTCATTTATTTGCCTGTACTTTGGAAGGATCAGGGTCCAGCTGTCTTGCGAAATGCCCAATGTTACGGTATCTCCCTGAGCGGCAACCTGTCCCACGTAGTAGTATGTTATGGGCTGCTTCCAGTCAGTTTTCCTGCATGTTGGTGTATGTCCTGGTTTTGTCTGGGACAGAGTTGACTTTCTTGCTAGAAATTATTAGAATGGATGGTAAGCCAGGATACTTGATTCTCTAGATCATATACAATATACCTAAAGTCTGATTCCCCACTGTCTTATGACTGTGCAATCAAACCCATGGACTTACAGCAAGTCCACAGGGTGTGTAAGATGCTGTCTAGTACATCTGGAAGAATCAGGCTCTCAGTCTGCACAACTAAAAGAAATGGAGGATGAGGACAGTAGTTACAACTATCGCACTTTGATGCCTAATGTCTGCATGAGAGAATATTGGGCTTGTTATGCACGAATTCAACATCTGCAGAGTTGTCTGTCTTGGACATAAATGGAATAAGTGTGTATTTCCCTTGCACCCCTCATGCCAAACATGTGCAAATCAAGCACAAAAGTATGTCATCAGCTGAGACAACCATTTAAAATGGGTATCGAAATGCATTATGTAGCAAAGAGCTGAAGAACATAGTTTTAACGCCTAGAAAACAAAACTGGGTAGAAACTTGTTTAGTGGTGGTAGTTATACTGCAAGCAGTAAAAAGGATTAAAACCATTAGTTCCATTAAACAGCCCAATTCAGGCAAAGGGATGGAAATGTGCTTCTGTGAACCTGTTTGCAGTGATAACAGCAGTTCCTCCTACGGCATCGTGTGCTCCCAAAGCTTTGAATGAGTAACTGTAGCTAATGAATAATAGCACTTTTAAATAAAATCTTAATTGCCAAACAAAAGAATAATAAAGAAAGTTAATACTTTTCTAAATTTATTTTAGTTGAAGCTTAGAAAAGTTTAGGTTGGAGTTTTGGTTGAAGGTTTGGTTGCTGCCTTTTCCCCTTTTATCTGAACCAGCTCACTCAGACCTAATCTTCATCATCTAAACCACATGATTAACACACAAAACAACTTCGGAGCAAGCCAGGTCCAAGCAGGAAGCTGCAAGTACTATCATGTTTTCATGATATTAGCCAGCAAAATAACTGTGGTTTCTTCATTTTTTTTTTTTTTTGTTTTTTTGCTTCTTTTTTAATTCTCCACGTTTATGTTTTCCTTGAAAGGGGCCTGTGGTTTTGTTTCTTCTTTGTGTTGGAAACTTTCAGATTTACAATCTCATTCCCAGAGGCAATGCTTATTCTCCTAGACAATCCCCACAAGACTGGGGCAGGCCTGGACCCTTGTGCAAAATGGCTAAAGATGACTCCTGCTCTGCTCAGGTTTGTCAGTCAAACCAAACCATCCAGCCAGAGAGCTCCTCTCCCACCTGGTCCAGTTTAAAAGCAAGCAGCTATGACAGTATCATGTGAGGGGACTGGTCCTGCTGGTGTGTGTTAGGCTTGTTCAAAATATTCCATCTGAATTGGCTGTCCTGAGAAAAGAGATGCTCCTTTACTTCTTCTGGGATCTCAGTGGGTTTTAGGTGGTAACTCTGCACTAAGCTGCTCAGGTCACAGCAGTTCTGGGCATGTCTAGACATAAAGTTGCTGGTAGTGGAAGAAATGTTATCCTGAGCAGGGAGGAACCCACTGCGTTGTAGGTGCTTAAGTCCTCTTTTGCATCTGGCCCTAACTTGCAAGAGGGGAAGAGCCAAGTGCTCAAAGGCAGCTTGCATTTTATGGCTATAAATCATGCAAAAAAAAAAATGGACTCAATCATTTTGTACCTGCATTTGTATTGGAGGTGAGGGAGAGCCTTGACCAGGCAGGGAGAGACTCTGATTCTCTGCCTTTTCTCTGCTCTGGGGATTCAGAAAGGAAGCGAGGTGTCATGCCAGCAGAAATTATAGCTCCCATGTGTGTCATGCACTCCTATGCGAAGCTCCGTGGTTGGTATACTGGGTGCTTGTTGGGCAATGGCATGGAGAAGGCTGGTTTCCTTGGAACATTTTCTGTTCATTGTACTGTTCCTTCCCAGCATTTCACAAGCCACCACAAAGAAGACGACAGAAAGGGGGGAAAAAAACCTTCTTAAAATGAATTATGTGTGTCTTCCCTCGCTGCCCCAACAACCTTGGCAAGCTCAATGGAGCCATGCAGAACTGGTCTTTGCTGGATGGTACTCTTTGCACAATTTTATGATAATTATGGGGAGTCCACATGATGGAATGGTGAAAGCACAAGGAGGGAACTCAGGACTCTTTGCCTTCATTCCTGGTTCTGCCACCAAGATGCTCTGTGCATTGGCACTGCATATATAAACTCTTATGGTTGTCCCATTGGCATAAACCTCGTTTTATGTATTTGCTGCTTCTGTCATTTCTAGGGCTACCTGAGCTCCAATCAAAACAGTAGCAAAATGTCCCAACTAATCTGTAAATCAAACGATAAACCTAAGAACGATAACCTCTCTGCTCTGATTCAAAGCCTATTAAAAGACAAAGAAAAAAACATCTGTTTGCTCCAGTGTACGTTAGATTACAATGCAGGTTCTTGATCAGGTGGAAAAGAGAAGGAAGGCCACTAGAGCGCAAGGAAGCAGTGGGAGAATTACAATATATATCAATAGGAAGTAAAAACACCCTCAAGGCATGCTGAAAGCAAGACTTCTGCCAAGGCTTGGCTAGAATACACAAGTTTAGGGACCCAGCTTTCGCATCTTCTTGGCTCAACCTAGGAAGAAAACAGCTTCCTGTCTTAACTTCTTAATGTGAGCTCTCTATTTGTAATTTGCAGTACTTTTCATACCTGAAAGAACAACTCAGTTCTGATTTCATGGCAAAATTCCCAATGATTTCACTGTGAGCACAGCACAGCTCACATCCTCTTATTCTCTGCTATTGGGTGCTTTTCACATCCTTCCACGCTGTGAGGCTTCACTGGTCTTCTCCGACTCATGCTCATTCTCGGTCTCTTTCTTTGACACAGGTAACAGTTGCTAACTCCATCTAAAGACTGTATTGGTCTCTGTAGCAACCAAAATGTAAAAAGAAGCAATTGATTCAAACACTGTCTTCTGATTCCATTCAAGACATCTCCTGCTTATAGTGACGTGTTTTCTTCTTGCTTGTCAGCATAAGCCTCCCAGTCAAGTTCAGCTGTTCGCAGATGGGGCTTATGGAGGAGAACAGGCATCTGGACAGTCCTCACTACCACACTTGCAGAAGTAGTCTGTAAATATAGCATGTGATCATCCCAAAGCACAAACACAAAAAAGGAAGAAAAGAGTGAACAAAAAAACTATTAGTGTTCTTGAAAATGAAATCTCATGATTTCACTATGTGGCACTGCTATTTCAGTACTGTGGATTTAAAAACAGTACTAAATTTGTGGTCCTTTAAGTATCTACTTCCCTGGGGTTGGTACCTACAACTGCCCTCTTTGCCTTTCAGAATTCTCTTTTAAATTAACAAAGTGGTTTCAAACAAGCGGAAGGCTATATATAGACCCTGGAAAGTTTATCCATGATTTTCCCAAAGTTATTTTAAAGTGTTT